CGTCTCTGTCGTGCTTTAACTTTTACCCCTCCTGCGGTTCCTGTTCCTCTTCACCACCTCCCTCTTTCTGTCCGGTTATCTCGCCTGCAGGATTCTCTTTCCGTTCGTATTTCTGATGTTTCTCCTCGTGTTGTTCCTTCTTTGCCCCCGTGGAGGGTCCCTCTTCCGCGGTTTTGTACATCCTTGACTCGTATCACTAAAGCTTTTACCCCTCCTACAGTTCTAAAACGCCTTTTCCTCGAGCACTTTTCTTCTCACTCCCGCTCCGTTTCTGTCTTCACCGATGGGTCTAAGTCAGCGGACGGTGTTGGCTACTCTGTTGTTTTTCCTGATCGCACTTATATGTGTCGCTTGCCTCCGGAGACTAGCATCTTTACAGCGGAACTTTATGCTATTCTCTATGCTCTTCGTCTCCTGCTTTCTCGTTGTCAGTCTTCCTTTGTGGTTGTTGTTGACTCTCGTAGTGCCCTCATGGCTCTCGGGTGCTTTAATCCAGTTCATCCGGTAGTTGTCGAGATCCAGCATTGGCTGTTTCTCGTTCACAGTAAATTTAAGTCGGTTGAGTTTTGTTGGGTTCCCAGCCATATTGGCGTGTCTTTAAATGAGCGTGCGGATGCTGCCGCTAAGGAAGCTGTCCGCTCTTGTCCCATCTCTCGTAAAGGCATTCCGTATTCCGACTTTTACCCGGTTATCCATTCCTCAGTCCTTACCCGTTGGCAGGCTTCTTGGTTGTCTGTTACTGGTAACAAGCTACGTACTCTTAAATGTTGTGTTTCCTCGTGGCCGTCCTCCTTCCACCGTAACCGGCGGTGGGAAACAGCTCTAGCGAGGTTGCGTATTGGCCATACTCGCTTAACCCATGGTCACTTGATGGAGCGCCGCCCTGCTCCTTATTGTCCTAGTTGCATTGTCCCTCTTACGGTCGTGCATGTCCTTCTTGAATGTCCTGACTTCCAGGACGAGCGTGTGTCTTGCTTTCCGACCGCCCCTCGCGGTCACCTGTCCCTCGATAGAATTCTTGGTGACTCGGATACTTTTGATATCGTTCGCCTTATGCGTTTTTGTTCTCGTATTGGCATCCTTGGTGATATTTAGCGCCCTCTGATTATTTTGCGTATTTGATGGTGCTACATAGCCTTCCCGGTTTGGTGCCTTCTTTTGATAATTACTTACTTACTTCCAAGCTGCACGCTTACAGTGGACAGCCCGAGCACAGTCTGCATTCCACCAGGGAACGCACTTCCGTGGACCCCTAGAGGAAGAGCGAGGAATAGAGCGGAGGGCAGCGTCAAAGACAGTGTCATGAAAAAGGAGGAGAGAGCGAGGGAGAGGTCAGAGAGAGCAGCACTGAGGGTAAAGAGGTTCCAGTCCACTTTCGCAAACTGCCACCTAGGGAAGGAGAGGGGAGGGCGAAAAGAGAAAAATGTAACAAGAATGGGGAAATGGTCACTGCCATGGAGGTCATCAAGAACCTGCCACGTGAAATCTAAGTAAAGAGAAAACGAGCAAAGAGAAAGATCAAGACAGGAAAGGGTGAGTCCGAGAGCCCAAATGCGTGGGCTCACCATAATTCAGAAGAGACAGGGAAGAAGAGAGGATAAACGGCTCAAGAAGGCAACCCCGGGTGTTCGTCAGAACATCACCCCAAAGGGAATAACGACAATTGAAATCACCCAGCTGGAGCACAGGCTCCGGCAAGGTCGTCCAGTAGGTGTTTCAGATCATTAAGAGAAAGCGGGATACTCGGGAAGGGGGGGGAGATAAATGGAAGAGTGTACCATTTCCCCACAAAGATACGAGCAGCAGAACAATGGAGAGGCGAAGGAAAAAGTAAGGGGACAAAGGGAACATCAGAGCGAAGCAAGAGAGCAGAGGAGTTAGGGGGGGGGGGGAAAGAAAGGAATAGCCACGAAAGCGACCAGGACGAGCACCAAGCATCGGCTCCTGGAGACAGACACAAAGGGGCGAAAATCGCAAAATCAGAAGTTGGAGTTCAAGGAAATTGGCGTAATAACCCCGAACGTTCCATTGAAGAATAGACATCGTCGAGAAGAGAAAGGACAACAACAGAGAACAAGGAAGGAACAAAGGCGAAAGAGCAACATAGCACGTTAAAGATGATCAGGGTCAGCAAAGTCAGGGTTAGGGGCATGGGTACATGGGTAAACTGAGCAAAGACGGAGGGAAGGAAGCGGGAGAACAGACCAGAGGTGGACAGGCGGGGTCCGGAGTAGGAGGAGGCAACCGAGAGCAGTAGTCAAGGACAGCAGCAGGAAGAGGGGGAGTAGAAAGAGGGGAGCACACCTCAACATGGGCAGCAACTGAGAGGGAAGCGGGGCCAAAGAAACCTCCATAGCAGAGAACAGGGGGCACAACCACTAAAATGGGAGGGGAAGGGGCGATAGAGTCAGAAGTAGGGGCCGAGGAAGAAAACGAAGACTTCTTACCCGCCGGGAAGGAGGAAGGAGAGGAGCCAGGCTTACGCTTCTGACTTAAAGAGACAGGTATCCAAGCAACTACGTACTGGGCAACGGATTCCAGCGTCTCAACATGAGAAGCTAAACGAGAGCACACACGACGGTCGTTAGGAGAGCGATGGACATCAGCCAGCACTGACAGGCGGCAGGGAGAGTCAATAGATGGAGAAGGACGGAAAAGAGAATCGGAGGGAGACTAGGAAGAAGACACAGGAGACATGACAGACCAGGCAGAAAGAAGGGGAACCCCAGACAGAGGACCAGGAGGGGGGACCCTTCGGGACAGAACTCAAAGGAACAGAGGAGGGGGCAGTGGGCGCATCAGGGTCCAAGACCCGGAAACGGTTGTGGGTCTGAGGAAGGTGGGAAGGACGAGGAGAGGAAGAGCGCAACACGCGAGCATAAGAGACGTTAGCATAAGGCGGGAGCCGGCGAACCTGGCGCCTCGCCTCAGGAAAAGATAAACGCTCCCGGTGCTTCAAGTTGAGGACAGCTGCCTCAAGCTAATAATGGATACATGCACGGGAGAAGGTAGGATGGGCCTCACCGCTGTTGAGGCAGCGAACCTGGGGAGAAGTGCCTCAATTTTCAGTACTGGGTCCTCTGGTAGGTTAGGAGAGAACACTATACTGTATTGACCATTTTCTTGATGTTGGGAAACTTTAGGAGGGACAGGCTGTACCATGACAAGGTACTGTAGCTGCTGCATGGGGATGACGTTATCTTGAGGTTATCTCAAGATGATTTCGGGGCTTAGCGTCCCCATGGCCCGGTCCTCCTTTTTTGTTACACACCTCCAGGAAGCAGCCCGTAGCAGCTGTCTAACCCCCAGGTACCTATTTACTGCTATGTATACAAAATGTGATGCAAGTCTTGATATAGACCCTGCTCAATAAATCTGAGTATAGTAACAAGTGAAGCAAATAATAATGAAGGGCTCTGGTAGAGTGGGGAAAGTAGTTACTGTACACCAATTTCTTGTACAACAGTCAAGTGGAACCAAAGTGGGAGGAGGCGGCAGCCCAGTGTTACATATATGATTTTACATGGAGGGATTGACAGGCAGATACTGTTTAACTGAATACAGATTCAAAAACCAGTAAAATAAACAATGTTATACATATATATATATATTTATTTATTTATAAACCATAATAATATATATAAATAATTTACTTAGTCTAAGTGATACAGTGCTTTCATCTACTTTTGCTTCTGTGTGGCAGAATAACTTGCTTTATCTTTGGTGAAAAAATACAATCTCAACACATGCATGAATTATGTTCATTAAATTCATAAACAAAAACCAAGAAGAAACATCATTAAATTAGAATATGCAGGCGATGAGTCACAACAACGTGGCTAAAGTATGTTGACCAGACCCTTCACCTTCTAGTGTGTGGTCTGGTCATTAAATTAGAATATTTTGTATGTATATTTGCAATTTAATGTACTTCATCTTTAAAAAGCAAGCAACCTTTAAAAATCATTGAAAAAACACAATGACAAAAGCATAAACTAAGCATACTATAATCTTTAACTGAAACCACAGAGAACAAGAATAAAATTCTAATTAAAGCAATAAAAACTTCTTATTTTGGGGTTCCATTCTGTTTACATCAATCTCAAACTATCACGTGGTAAAGACAAAACACTCGTACAACAACAATTTCATTAAACCAGAAGTGGAAACAAAGATATACTTTAGTGCTCTAAAAACAAAGGAAGAAGAAAATTTAATACAGATAGATTAGTCGCTGCAAAGGAGGTTTGTGACGTAATTTTGTTGCAGTGTAGAACCAGGTTCAGCTTCACTAATCATTTGGAAGCTTGCAAGTTACTTTTAGTGAATAACTTTCCAGTGTATACCATAGACTTTCCTAGTACAGTTATGTACTTGTACAAGCAGTTGCAGCCTATCCCATGCTTGAAAAAGTCAAATTGAGAACTGAACTTGCTGTACTGTACACAAGAGAAGATTTGCGTAAATCAGAAAACCTCACTGACCTGTTATGAACGACAATCATTTACAGTCAACATTTTCAGAAACTGTGAAGCTACTGAAAAAGTTAATAACTCCAATGACAATGGCAGAAGCAGAAAGGCGTTTTTCAACTTTGAAGAGAATCAAAATTTTTTTGCGCAATACCATGGCGAATGAGAGACTGTCTGCTCTAGCAATGATATCGATTGAAAATATAATGATAACAGAAATTAAGGATTTTAATGAACAAGTAATAAAGCATTTTGCTACATTGAAGAGCCGATGCACTGATTTTCTTTTCAAGTCATATTAACGTCACGACCTCAGCCATCCATTCCTCCACTAACCCGACAATAATGATTCCTATGGGCCTCAGTACATATATGGTGCGTTTATTAATGTCTTTCATTTAATTATTTTTGTTATTACAGTATTTGATTGTACTGTTGTGTTAAGCTTGAAGTGATGCAGCCCCTTCATTCTATTATTATTAAGTGAATCCACTATTAAAATTTAATTATTGCCATGTAAGCATCACATATATTTCACTATAAAATTTTATTCAGTGTTATTTCATCAGAAACGACCCCCAAATCAAGTTTTCTGAAGAGGTCACAGTACAGTCTCACATGAGAATATAATGTTAAAACATTATATCCTTCAAACAGTACCTTTGTAAATCAAGATCTTTATGACATACCAGTTAAAACTAAAATTGATAGACAGGTAACATTATTATGCAAAACATTCAATTATTGCTTACATTCAGAAAAGGAAAATATTGACAAAATTACCAACATTAAATTTAAACATTTCTCAAGATGACTAAAACTCTTAATCTTTCAAGACTGCCCTTGATAAAAACACGCATCTTGAGCGTTGATGAATGTTGAAAACCGGGAGAAGATACAAGTATATTTCATCTGGCGTACATTTTGCCTTTTGAACTGTCGCTTGGGTACAAGGAAAAACCACAACAGAGTTCCAAGCCCTTAAGTACACGTTGGTGCTATGGCATGTAATGCATTACCCACCAGTCTCACAACATTAAGGCATGGAAATCGAACTTTTACTAACCAGCAGATTATAAGGATTCTTGGCAGTATTGAAATCCCATACATTAGCATAACAGATCTTTCAGCTTCCATGTTTTATTTATGACTAAATCGGGTGAATGCTATGTAACACACAGAGGTAGTTAATAGGTAATTAAGTGGGTGGCATAAAAATAGCCCTGGCAAAGTGCACGCAGAACATAGCGTACCATTATCACGTGAACTGGAGTAGAGTCCCATCTATCTACATCTGATAAATCTGTTCTCCCGGGTCTGAAAAATTTGTAGTTCAAACAAGCTTTTCCACATCACCCAACAGTTTGTTACTATAATCATATACTATACTTTATTGCTTTGTTCTTCCACTCTATTCTCTTGAATTACACCTTACTCAAAACTTAACCAATACAACACTTTACACTACTTTCAAAATGTCACCACGACGAGGGAGAATAAAAAATCTATACTGTATTACCGAGATTGATCTTGACCCTTAAAGTGCAGCTATTGTCATATGTTGATTCACGGGGTAATAAAGTTATCATAAAATGATTTAAACTACAATATTATTGTCTGGATTTTACACTAATGATGCTAATATGGATAGTGAAGCATTATATGGATATAGTGTAGCCCTATATGGATGTAGTAGAGTTTACCTAGACACGAGAAAACTCCTGCTCTTGTTTCACAATTGTTTACTATGCAAATGGAGTTATCGTCACAAATGTTGGTGTGATTATGTGGCGATTTCATGGAATGAAAGTCCATTATAATTCCATGATATGTGTAATGATTATGTTCACTTGGTTTTCCCCACTATATGGCTGAACCTGAATGAAGTATAAACAAATCCACAAGGGCTGTGACGAGGATTCGAACCTGCGTCCGAGAGCATCCCAGACGCTGCCTTAATCGAGTGTGTACTGAATGAAGTACAGTACAACTGTCAACCAATCACTTCAACATCATAATACTGTAAACTACAGAAGGCTTGTTGCCTCATACGAGGAGGCTCCTATTTACATCGTGGATAGGAGTAGGAGCTGCCTCATATGGGCCAATAGGCCCATAAATGAATGAGTTTGGGTTGGATATAAATGGGAGTTGCCACTGCCTCTTTATATCCACCCAAACTCATTCATATATGTGCCTACTTGCACACATGAGCCAGCTCTTATTTATATACATGATGCAAATGGGGGCTGCCTTGCATGGTCCAATTAGTCTTCTACAATTTCCTTAGTCCTTACTGATAAATACATTCATTCATTAATTAGCTTACTGACACATTCACACATTCATTGATGCAATGCATGTATGTGTGTATCAGTAACCATACATTCAAATACGATTGTATAAACATCCAAAACCAACAATGAGAGAGTGTGGTTCAGACAATGTGTATGCATGTTGTCGAGGTGAGCACCGGCATTTGACAGATTGAGATGGGCTGCCACACTCAACTTGTACAGTGTACAAGGGGTTAAAGTGTAGATATTAAGTTTATTTCCCTGTTTTAGTATATTTTGCATCTAAATTAATCATGCTTTAAGAACAAATCTCAGTGTCAACATGTTGACAAGACACTGACGCAAATGCCTCCTGAAGGTCACCTGTTGCAATGAATTAAACTCTGCAACGAACCGGGGTCGGTCCCTTATAGTTCACCGAATTGAGGTTGTACTGTATGTCTAAAAACCATAGCCACGCGTTAGGGGTCTAAGATTAATTGTACACAGCATAACACTTTTACACTATAAAATTTCAGATAAAACTGAATTACAAGTTTTAATTATACAAAACTTTGGACTAACAACTTCAATAAGCCAACTAATTTGATCACTGACTTCCCTGAACTCCTCACACCGTGGTGTAACATACCAAACATCAAATGACACCCCCCCCCTCTCTCCTCCCTCACATATTGTCCTTAAAGAAGCTATTGACTGCTACGATGGAACTTCATTCTTTCTACACTTTTTTGTTTATGTAATATTCTTGCCAAACCTGCTTTTATATCTTAAAATACAAGTTCTTTACTTTAAACAGCATTTAGGCATCATTAAGTTATATTCTTCACGGCAAATAAACTCAAACAAATGTGTGATTCACATCAGACAAGTATATCTCCGAAGCCTTACAGTAGCTACACAATCTCATCCAAGTATTTTGCAAATTAGCCAAGACTGGTTTTCACGTGCAGAGGTATTTTCATCCACATCTGAATTAAATGTCCAAGTTTATACCTGAAAGAAAATTAGTAATATTATCATGTGTAATTTTTTCTTGGTAATATCTACATCACTTGAAAATTATGTAATCTTTAAGAGCTAACCTTATATATAAAAAAAAAAGTTACAAAAGCTAAGTTTTAAAATATAAAGTTTTATGCAAATGAATAATTGAATACAAGTTTCCATAATACTGTACTAGAGATGTACTGTAAGCATGTCAAGTTTGGTTCAAACGCCAATTGTTGGCAGTAACCAACATAATTCACAACATAACAATGAATGTACAACATTACACATAGCATAACAGTGTACAACATAATACACTACACTACTCGAGAAACCTGCCACATTATATATACCAAGTTGTCCTTACATGGACCACACCAAATAACCTACACATTCTGACACAAACACTGGTTATGAAAATATTAAATTATCAACTGGTGTTAAGCATTATATATATATACAGCATGAAGGTACATTAGTGAAGCAGCAAACCGAGTCTCGTATATTATAGGCTTACCTGTTCCATTTGCAGATCAAAAGGCTCCTCATCAGAGCCAATAAGACTCTCAACATTATAAAATGAGGCATGAAGAATAATGATGAAGAAACTTGCACCTGAAATATCCAACAATTAGTCATTATTTTATAGCTTTAGCTTTAACTTCAACAGCTTTATGAACCACTAAGACAATGTCTGGCTATGCTAGTAGTTATTTGAAACACCAGTTTTAGAAGAAAAATAGGGGTGTGTCAAGTAATATATTATCAAATGCCAATTCATAAACACTTAGGTGGTCTTTTTTTAATCAAAGAAAAATTTAGTTTTTAACCCTGTTTCAGCCCTTGGTAACTAAACCAAAAACTAAGTGCTACATTGAAAGGGTTAAACTACTGTATTAAATTTCTTCTTTTATCATTCAATATCTTCTCATAATCCTACTAATATAGTGCTATTACAAATTTATGACTTTATTCGGAAGCTGTTTTTACTTCCCTTGTACCTTGTTCTGGTACCTTGGTTCATCATGACAATTCCGCAAAATCCTTGTTCCTCACAACGTCTACAACTTACCCAAGACCCAAAAGAGGACAGCGCCTGCCCCCGCCAAGTAGAAAATTGGAAGTGATACAATGCCAACGGCAGAGTACTGGTGAGCAAGTGAAAGTTCATGGCCTCCAATGATGATCTTTTTCTCAGCATTCTTCAGGGAGAGGATGTAGCATGCACCCAGTGAGGCAGCGACAGCGATAAGTAGAAGAGGGGACGTTATCCTGGAAAATAAATATGTACATTGTGAGGGTTATAAAGCAAATAAAAAGTGACAAAATGTAAAAATAGGGAGGTGAAATCTGCAACATTGAGAACAAGAGGCAACAGGTTCCAAGAAAGCAAAGCCATGGACATTGAAGACTTCAAGGCCAGTTTAGAGTGACAGGAGAAGTTCAACAGATAGCATGACATGGTACTACACTCTTAACTTTGTTGCCTCTGGGTTAAATGAATAACTTATCTACACAAAATTAATGTTTATACATTTAAATTTCTATACACACAATCATGTCTTGTAAAAAAATTTTTAACAAAAATCGGAAAATTTGGTGACGGTCATGAAAAAGTAATTATTCAGAATTAAAGATGATTGAATTTGTAGATTTTAATCAAGCTTGTAACAATATGATCAGGAGTTTGGAGGCCCCTGTGCCGAGAACCTCAGACAAAATGGTCAACATTTTACACTTATAAATGAAGACACATGAAAACTGGAAACACAATGAAGTAATGGAAGCCAATGCAAGACAATTTTATAAGTAGATATAACAATAGTAGGAAAGTGATAGTACAGTACTCTAGTGTTGCACCCGATACCCCAAAGTGAAGAGGAAGGTTATCGTGAGATGATTTCGGGGCTTAGTGTTCCCGCGGTCCGGTCCTCGACCAGGCCTCCTTTTTGTTGCACAGCCCCCAGGAAGCAGCCCGTAGCAGCTGTCTAACTCCCAGGTACCTATTTACTGCTAGGTGAACAGGATCATCAGGGTGAAAGAAACTATGCCCATTTGTTTCCGCCTCCACCGGGGATCGAACGCGGAACCTTAGGACTACGAATCCCGAGCGCTGTCCACTCTGCTGTCAGGCTCCCTGCCAGGCAGGTGCCCCAACAATTAATCCTCCTTCATACCAAGCACTAATAAGAATACATCATATTGGTAAGAAAACACATACAGGAAAGGGTGCAAAGACATACAACAAAATGGCTATAGAACTGACAAACAAAAGCTATAAGGAGAGGCTAGAGGTGGCAAATAAGCCAATGCTTGAAGAGAGAAGGAAAAAAGGCGATATGATCACTACATACAAAACGGCAAGACACGTACTGTACTACAATGCCATAGTGCTCGAATGATGAAGACTCAATACACGTAATTACCTAAGCATAATTACCCAAGTAGTTACAAGATGAGAGCTATGCTCGCGGTGTACCATCTTCCCGGTACTCTTTGTAGTACAGTATAATGCTTTGAAACTACAGACTGTTTTGGCCTCCACCACCTTCTCACTTAGCTTATTCCAACCATCTACCACTATTTGCAAAAGAAAACTTTCTAATATTTTTTGGCACCTTTGTTTTCCTTACATGCATTGTGTGTAAGTGCATTAAAACTACTAAAATTAAAAACCATTAAAATTGAACACACTTAAATGTGTATTGGGACTTTCCTTCACTTTCATACAAAATAGTATTAAGAATCGACAAAACAGACGTGCTGAATTTTTTTTAATCCGAAACTTCAAGAACATGAAGAGGTATAATCAAAGGTGCCAAAGACACACACACACACACAAGTTCTCTTTTGCGAGCAGAGTTGTAAAAGGTTGGAACAAATTAAGAGAGAAAGTAATGGATACCAGGCCCATCAGTAGTCTCAGTGTCATAACCAATAACAAGGGCCAATAACAACTATTGGGAAGACAGGATACCACGGGCACTCTCTCTCGTCACGTACCTACACTTGATAAATTGCTTTCGTAATTACACACACACTAGACTCTCGAGATTAGATTAATCAACAGAGCAGACACTTTACAGGCACCAATGCAATATACACAAGTGAAGTATTAACTTACAAGCAGTATATAATAAGGCCAAGGAACACAAACATGTAATTGGACTGGAAGTAGTCAATGTTTTTGGCCAGTCTTTTACTCCATCTCTGTACATTAGGTGGAATCTGAAAGAAACAAAACAGATTTAACAAATTCAGGGGATGATCAAGATGCATGCACAATATCCTGAATAATATTAATATTATATATATATGAGTTACAATGAATATGACTGCATATTCTGTATCGATTACTTTCTTGTTTAGGGCTTCAATCCCTGACTAGTGCTCCTGCATCTGGGTGTAATTGGAAGAGGAGTTCTCCAAAAGTCTTTTGGAGAAATATGTATAAATGAAAACCTGCTGCCAGTATACACCAATATACAGTATATAATATATATATTCAGAAAATTAACAACCAGAACCACAGACATAGCCCTACACCATGAATATTCAAATCTAAGAGTAATTGTTAAGCTAAGTTGACCATTAAATCTAACAATTAGATTTTCCTCCATTCCAGTTTCTGCAGGGTTTTTTGTATACCATCATACGGTATATATATATTTTTTTTTAAACAGTCCCCCATGGCACAGTGGTAAGACACTCGCCTGGTGCTTTGGCCGGGTGCCAGTCCTTAACTGTAGCCTCTGTTCACCCAGCAGTGAATGGGGTACCTGGTTGTTAAACGATTTGGCGGGTCGTATTCCGCAGAAAATTTGGATTAAGGAACCGCCCAAAACGCTATGCGTGCTAGTGGCTTTACAACAATGTAAGAACTCTTATATAAATAAATATATAAATAAATATTAGATTTATATGAAACTATTCCAAATTATATTTTGTTACTATATGTATAATGCAATATTCAATGCATACATAAGAATATATAACCATTACCTTGAACTTTTGTGTGTTGACGAAGACCATCCAGGGTCGAACATTTTCCCGGCTGCGTGTGATCCACTCTCTGGCTGCTGGTGATGCCAGCTGCAATTGCACAGGAAGCTGCATCAGTAATCTGAAAATATAAACCACCAACATTATACACCTGATATGTATCAAGGTACAAATAAGTATGTATGCAGACAGATACAGGTCTGCAGGGAATATTAACCAAGACACATGAAGGCAAGAATTTTATACATTTTCTATATTTACATATTTATATGTATATACATTTATACTGTATATTTTATATATGCCCTCTGCGCAATTGAGAAGAATGGGGGAATCGGGCCAATCGCTGTTGACAACTTTCTCCGATGGCTAGTTGCCAAGGCTGCCACGAGGATCGTCAGCCAGCAAGTCGCTGAATTGCTGAAACCAATTCAGCTTTGATTTGGGATCCCCCAAGGTTGTGAAGCAGCTGCTCATACAGCATTAGTGTACATCACTAACATCTCTGATCAAACTGGACTTTAAAAATGCTTTTAACATGTCAGAAGAGATGCCATGCTCTATGCTGTATATACATCACCATTTTTGGCCTCTCTATCCATTCATTCTATCTTGCTACAGTGGTGAACCAAAATTGCTCTGTCGAACACAAAATCAGATAAAGTCAATCAGATCACGATCAAGACCTGAAATCAGATCAAGTCCAGCAAGGTGATCCTCTAGCTCCTCTTTTCTGCTTAGTCTTAAAAGAAATCACCGAAAGCTTGTCCAGCAAGTTCAATATCTGGTTTCTGGAATGACACTATAGCTGACCCCCTAGTGTCCCTAAACCCCTCAAGTGTAAAATAGTTTCTTCAAACATCATAGATAAAGTCAACTCTGTCTTGCCCAAAGCCCATGTCATGAAGCCTACAGACAGCACTCTCCCTGGAGCCCCCTCTCAGGTCTAATGGCACTGAACAGATCCTTTATAAGAAAACCACTAACCTAAGAAGGATGGAAGCTAGGACTGGTGACAGTTGCTCCAGATGCTTTTTATCTCCTCATTAGATGCCTATCCCTTCCATAGCAATTTCTTTTTGAGGCACACCTCATCTTACAAGAGCCAAAAGCTTGGAGATCATGCTAGAAAAAGTTGTCAACCTTCCCCTCAATCAGTGAAAGCAAGCCACTCTTCTAGTCAGGCTCGGTGGCCTTGGCATCCTCACTGCCTCCCAATTTTCTGTCCCAGCCTTCCCATCTTCCTCCTCGACATTGGATGATCTGACCAAGGAAATTCTACCAGACAACCTGGGGTGATTCAGTGGGGACATACAACTCCCAATACATGGAATGCAACACAAAATGGGGTACCCTGGTAGACCCATGACTCAGACTAACACTACTGAAAGCAAACACTCCAGCTGGGACAGACCCATTGTAGATAAAGAAGCCGCATCTTTGCTGGAGGCAGCAACAACCCCCAGTGATCATGCTCGCCTCACAGCTGTGCAGGCTCTCCATGCAGGGGACTTTCTTTTGGCAGTTCCTATGTCTGCAACAGGCACAAGTCTTGATCCACAGCAACTCTGTATTGCAGTTGCCCTCTGCCTTGCTGCCCCAATCCACACTGTACACTCTCTATCTATGGTGAGGCAGCTGCAGACAAATATGGATCGCATGGCCTGCACTGTGGAAAATCAGGAGGTTGGCACTCAAAGACACTATGAAGTCAGTGACATCATTAAGAGAAACCTTGCCTCTGCCTAGTGTCCGGCAGAGAGAATCTCACAACCTAATGAACCGTAACTCTGCTGGCTTTGCTGGTCGACTGGTTAGAATCACACTTACAGGTATCCATCAGTCTCGAGAGACTATGGAGTTTGAACTCTGGTTGTCGCACTATCCCCATGGAAATGTATCACCCTAAAAATAATCTTTCCTATATCATAACAATAATAATAATTCACTATGTTGGGGGACAAGCAGCCAGTTTATACATACAGTGCACATTAAACATATATCGAGGTTCCCTCTGCACTAGGATGAAACCCCACAAGCTGACTAACTCCTGGGCAACTATTTACTGCTAGGTGAACAGGTGCATTAGGTGATAAACACACCCAACCATTTTTGTTTTGCCCAGGATTTGAATCCACAATTCTCGAGTGCGAGTCAAGAACTAATCCAACTGTACTACAAGACCCTTAATGTAAGGGCCTTTAGGTATGTAACCATAATTTAGATGAAAATGAATACAGTACTCCATCAGATGTTGGAGAGTTAAAACACAGCATATAATTAAAACTCTTTTGGCATTTCAAGATATTTAACAAGACATTTAGATATTTCAATGTGTTATTTACAAACCACTTTGTTCAATTCGGGAGAAAGAGCTTGCACAAAAAACAGCAATATCAACGCAGTGTTGTTGTTGTTGAGCACTCAACTGACACAGTAAATTATGACACCATCCACCACAGCACCTTTTATAAGTGATGAGGGAACATAACCACAACCTGATGGCACCCACTACCAAGGCTGCCACTACCACAGGTGTTGCCATCCTCACCACACCTGCACGCTCAGTAACAAATGCCAGTGCTACGAGGTCAAGGACTAGAATGTACTCTAACATGTTCAGTAGCTTTTACAGGTCACACTTCCGTATGTACCAAAAGACCCTTATGCCTTTCACATGTTACCAATACAATTGTGTCATGGTACATATTATGGTTTTCCCAGTCAGGGACAGAAAGCCTGTTAAACTTATGAATGATCCCCCCCCTATTGCTAACTGCATTATGGGTTGCACCTTCCCCAGATGCAACCCCATAATGCAGTTACCTAACTCCAAGGTTTCATTAACTGCTAGGTGATCAAAGGCATCAGGCGAAGGGAAACATTGCTCAAGTGTTTCTGTCCTGTTGTGGGAATCGAATCTGAACATTTCGGCCGTGACCTAACTGTGCTGACAAGTGCACCACAAAAATACATTTGTAAAACACAAAAAACCCGTCACTAAGTTTGTAGCATCAACAAATTGAAAAATAAAAACACAGGATAGCATATCCAGAAAGGCAACTCCACTGGTCAAAGATGTACGTGATGAACACAAAGTAGAAACAGTAACAGAGGACATATTCTACTGAAAAACAGAACAAGCAGAGTCCCAATAATTATGTATCATTTTTTGTTAAATACTGTATGTAAACAACAACAACCTTGTTTCATGTCAATGTTCACCGTTTTGAAACTTCTTGGACGAGATATGATACAAGACTAAAATATTGCAACAATAATATGAACAAGCCATGGGAATAGCATGACTTGTACTGTATAGCACCAGTTGAAGAGCAACTGTTCAAGAAAGCACACAAGGTTAAGTCAGTGGTATCCACCCCTCTGGTACAAATTACATATTGGTTCAATTGGCTTTAAAGATATAAATATACATATAATACTTTTACTGAAGCATAAATAGCATTTATAGCAAGAGGAGACATTTTATAGATGTAACTTATAGATATGACATCACAATGTCTAAATATGCAATATTTTCAGAGATATAAACCAAAATACGGAGGTGGTTGGAAATAAACCATTACGCAAAGTGTTCAGCTCCCAGTTAGCAGTATCTAGACAGATCCTAATTGTAATTACATTTTACCAATACAGTACAGTATAACATGAACATTATGGTTTTCATTACTGTATATCCACCGTTTCAATACTATCAAGTAATAATTCCATAATGCCTGGTTCCCAGACGTTTGGCTCCTTTAAGGGGCCCCCCCCCCCAGACACTGGCATCTTTAGGACAATGCTCATGTATCAAGTAATAAAATGTTTGGTGGCTTCTTCCTCAGACAATACTAAGCATAAATATCCAATATTAGTGGACATGGTAATGATGCATGTCAGTTGGTCTTTGGTGGTATTTTCATGTTGTTTGATAACTTTCCTCTATCACTTTCCCTTATGTAAGTTCACTGGAATCTGAGACCTCTTATTCAGTTTTGGAAATGACTTGCCATGGAATTTTCAAGAGCTTTGGCTATACAGTACAGTATATTGTACTTTGTTTTGGTGGTGGGATTGTGACAATGGTATGACTAGTGCTGGTATCCAAGACCCCCCTTCCCCCCTTTATCACCCAGAAAGACCTTTCTAAATGACTACCTAGTTTCAGAACTACCAGCATCTAAAAATAAAACATAACTAATACAAAAATATGATCCTAAGCAAAATTAAATCTGCCTTAAAAGCATATAAAATCACAAAAATCAAACCCTGATGACTCATATTTCATCATGTTACTGGAGTATATTCGAAGAGTTCCTGTCATTTATATGATTTCACCCATTTCCCTGGTTGCAGGCTCTGTAGGCTTTCTCGGCAGGGGGCCCGATACTGGTGAGAAGCCCAACATTAGCAACTTCCCCCTATACAAGACCCATATCTTGACACCACACATCTTACATACAAGACACCACATATCACATCACAAGGGAGTGATATGTGGTGCCAGTATCAGCCAACACCTTCCCAAGTACAAAGATCAAGAACATCCAAAGATTAGTCAACAGACTAGTACTTAAGATTCAGTATCCAAGTTATATGAGGAAATGCTGAATGAACTATATTTTGCAATGCTGAAGAAGTGAAGAGATGCAGACACTACCCAAGATACCAAGATTTGGAAAAGGCAGTATTTGAAAAGGGGGGTTGGACCAGGATGAGAAGTGATAAATGGAAAGTGAACATTGAAATGAGCATGAGAGATAAAAGAATTTCTTCAGTGCAAGGTATGAGAGTGCAATGCCTCAGGAGAGGAATTAGGGAAGGCAAAGTTGGATCCAAAAGGGGGATTTCAATCCCAAAAAACAAATGCTGTATGTGGGTTCGATCCCATTGTATGGCCTCCATCTTTATGAGGATGGGAACCATGGTCAGAACCATGGAGAGAGAGCTCAAGAGAAGGCTAGGAAAAGCTAAAAAGGTACTCAGATGAAGCAAAACCGTTAAATGAGAGTACGAATGAGGAAGACTTTTTTCCAAAAGGTGATAGGAATCAGAGCCAATGAAGTGGAATATAAGGGACAGGTGGACAAGACACCAGAAGGATGGGGAGAATGGAGAAAGGATGGAGGCAACAGGTTCCTATAAATTTTGTATACAAGTAATAATGGATTAAGATAAATATTGGAGCTAAATAATATAACACAGCTGAATATCCCCAATATCACTCTGGCAGACTATACTGGAAGAAACTATAAACAAGGTGATGCTCTGAGGTGATGCCGAGTGTAGACCCAAAAAATAATAAACAAGATGGGATGACATAATAAAACTGTAGACATACAACAAGAAAGAAAACAGTATTCATAATTGCCTACAATCCACCAGCAAACAGCATATGATATAGAAAGAAATAGACAAAAGAGAGGGTCTTATAATGAATTTGAGTCAGGTAATAAAAAAAACTTGAAATAAAGCACAATTGATGGTACTGGGTACTTAAAAAAAAAAAGCTTTTGACAGAGTACCACAAAAGAGGTTCTTCTGGAGACTGGAACATACTGGAGTGACAGGGAGGCCTTAACATGCATGAAAAAATGTTCTGATGGAAAAATGAGGGCAGTAATCAGAGGCAATGTATCAGATTGAAAAAATGTCACAAGTGGAGTACACAGGGTTCAGTTATTGCACTGGTGATGTTCAATGTCTACATAAATGATCTACCAGAAGGAATACAGAATTACATGAACATGTTTGCCGATGATGCTAAGATACTAAGGAACATAAACTTAGATGATTGTCATACCCTATAAAAAGACCTGGACAAAATAAGTACAGTATATGGAGCACCACTTGGCAGATGGAATTTAACGTAAATAAATGCTATGATATGAAATGTGGAATAGGAGAAAAATAGACCACACAACCTACAAATTATATGAAAATGCTTTACAAAATTATGATAAAAGAACGATCTAGGGGCCTCGTAGCCTGGTGGATAGCGCGCAGGATTCGTAATTCTGTGGCGCGGGTTCGATTCCCGCACGAGGCAGAAACAAATGGGCAAAGTTTCTTTCACCCTGAATGCCCCTGTTACCTAGCAGTAAATAGGTACCTGGGTGTTAGTCAGCTGTCACGGGCTGCTTCCTGGGGGTGGAGGCCTGGTCGAGGACCGGGCCGCGGGGACACTAAAGCCCCGAAATCATCTCAAGATAGGGGTAGTTCTAGATAGAAAGCTCACCTGAGGACCAAAAAGAACATAGTGCCAGGAGCCTATGCTACACTTTCAAATTTCAGAATTGCTTTTGAATACATGCATGGTGAAATACTAATTGTTTACAACCTTTTAGAGACCAAAGCTGGAATATGTAGCGGTTGTATGGTGTTCATATCTTGAGAAACTCATCAACAAACTGTAAAAGGTGTAAAGACATGCAACTAAATCGCTCCCGGAACTGAAAGACAAGTGCTACGAGGAAATGTTAGAGGCATTAAATATGCCAAAACCAGAAGATTGAAGAAAATATGGAAAAGATAGAAAAGGCAATATGATCACTATGTATAAAGTACTGTAGTAACAGAATCGACAAAATTGATAGGGAAGAATTCCCAAGACTTAGTACACCAAGAACAAGAGGTCATAGATTTAAGCTACTGTATCTAAACAAAGCTGCCAAAGATATATAAGAAAATTCACTTTCACAACAATAGTGGTAGACAACTGGAATAAGTGGGAAGGTGGCGGAGGGCACCATCAGAACTGTAGTTTCAAAGCATTATATGACGGTGCTCGGAAGACTGGAAACAACAAGCCTAGCTCTTATCCTGTACCTACACTTAGGTAATTACACTTATGTAATTACATTAAACAGCCATACAATACATAGGTTAAGTTTCAATATGATGAATCATTGAAGGTATTCAATTTAGACCTGTCAGGGTATAAAACAAAAAAAATACAACAAAAAACAAAAACATGCCAAGAACACCTAATAAACACTACAGTACTGTATTACCCTTCGAAGGTTAACAAAATATTCTTATAGTATAATTTTCCAAAACACCAAGTACTGCAGACTCGTTTAATTAATCCAGCGCAGATACAGATTGAATAAAACAATATGCAGTAAATAATCCAGCCCAGATACAGATTGAATAAAACAATATGTAGTAAATAATCCAGCCTAGATTGAATAAAACAATATGTAGTGAATAAAAATATTAGTGAAATGCACAAAATAAAATGCGTCCGATTACCCCAGTATTCTAGTCAACCGCAGCAAGCATGCTTCAGCAGGAGAAGGAACGTTCTCAAAACCATCACCAAAAAACAGAGAAAGTGGGAAGTTGTTGCCAGCACAAAGAAAGTGGGAAGTTGTTGAAAGCACAAAGAGAAAGTGGGAAGTTGTTGCCAGCACAAAGAGAAAGTGGGAAGTTGTTGCCAGCACAAAGAGAAAGTGGGAAGTTGTTGCCAGCACAAAGAGAAAGTGGGAAGTTGTTGCCAGCACAAAGATAATTCAATCTGGACAAGTTTCTGTTAAATTGACTCACTTCTTGAAACAACTTGGCTGCTCTCTATCAACCTCCATACTAAATGGGTTGGACACCTGTTCCTGCGGCTCACCTGCACCTGTGTCCTCACTGTAGCCAACAACGCAGTGCAGTGAGTCAGGTTGCAGGTGTTCATATTAACAAAGAAAATTTTTAGGTCAATAAACAATGCATGTAAACAAAACATGGTACTGTATTTACAAGTGTTTACATACAAATTAAAAAAAATAAACCTACTTACCACAATTTGTGTAGAATATCAACTTCATAAATAAACAGTTGGCAACTCTAAAGCAGGCATTGAGAGCGTGGTATATACAGGATGTTTATAGTACATGAAGGCAAATCAAGGTATCCCTGTGACAGGAAACCTCAAGGTACAAACAGGGCAGTGTAATGAATACAGGGAACACAATGAGTACACGCTAGAGTAATACCCATAATCACAAGGTGGCCAAATGTGCAGTGGATGGTTTTAAAGAGCAATGAATACTTTGAAAATGTGTAGTGGGGTGGAGGTGTAATTGTATATGTTAGAGTGTAAGGTATTCTAGGAGGAGCAAGGTATACTAGGAGCAGCAAGGAATACAGCATTTGGCATAGTGAATACTAGGGGTAATGAATATACTAAGAACAGATTTGCTCATATTGAGGAGCATAGACTATACTGGTGGGTGTAGAATATGCTAGGGGGAGCAGTATACACAGTGGAGTAGCCTATGCTGGATGGGGGGAAGTGTAGCCTATGCTGGAGGGGGGGGGGGAAGTGTAGCTTATGCTGGAGGGGAGGGGGGAGTGTAGCCTATGCTGGAGAGGGAGGGGAGGCCTATGCAGTGTAGCCTATGCTGGAGAGGGAGGGGCAGTGTAGCCTATGCTGGAGAGGGAGGGGCAGTGTAGCCTATGCTGGAGGGTGGGAGGAGTGCGGGAGTGTAGCCTATGCTGGAGGGGGGGGGGGAAGTGTAGCCTATGCTGGAGGGTGGGGGGAGTGGGGGAGTGTAGCCTATGCTGGAGGGGGGAGGGTAAGTGTAGCCTATGCTGGAGGGGGGGTAAGTGTAGCCTATGCTGGAGGGGGGGGGGGGAAGTGCACCCTATGCTGGAGGGGGGGGGGGGGCTGGAGGGGGGGGGAAGTGTAGCCTATGCTGGATGCTGGAGGGGGGGGGAGTGTAGCCTATGCTGGAGGGGGGGGGGAAGTGTAGCCTATGCTGGAGGGGGGGGGGAGTGTAGCCTATGCTGGAGCCTATGGGGGGGGGAGTGTAGCCTATGCTGGAGGGGGGGGGGAGTGTAGCCTATGCTGGAGGGGGGGGGGGAGTGTAGCCTATGCTGGAGGGGGGGGGAGTGTAGCCTATGCTGGAGGGGGGGGGGGGAGTGTAGCCTATGCTGGAGGGGGGGGGAGTGTAGCCTATGCTGGATGCTGGAGGGGGGGGGGGGAGTGTAGCCTATGCTGGAGGGGGGGGAGTGTAGCCTATGCTGGGGGGGGGGGGGGAGTGTAGCCTAGTGTAGCTATGCTGGGGGGGGGGGGAGTGTAGCCTATGCTGGAGGGGGGGGGAGTGTAGCCTATGCTGGCTGGGGGGGGGGAGTGTAGCCTATGCTGGAGTGTAGCCTATGCGGGGGGGGGAGTGTAGCCTATGCTGGAGGGGGGGGGGGAGTGTAGCCTATGCTGGGGGGGGAGTGTAGCCTATGCTGGAGGGGGGGGAGGGGAGTGTAGCCTATGCTGCTGGAGGGGGGGGGAGTGTAGCCTATGCTGGAGTGTAGCCTATGCTGGAGGGGGGGGGGGTGTAGGGGGGGGGGGAAGTGTAGCCTATGCTGGAGGGGGGGGGGGGGGGGAGTGTAGCCTATGCTGGAGGGGGGGGGGAGTGTAGCCTATGCTGGAGGGGGGGGGGAGTGTAGCCTATGCTGGAGGGGGGGGGGGGGGAGTGTAGCCTATGCTGGAGGGGGGGGGGGAGTGTAGCCTATGCTGGAGGGGGGGGGGGAGTGTAGCCTATGCTGGAGGGGGGGGGGAGTGTAGCCTATGCTGGAGGGGGGGGGGGGGGGAGTGTAGCCTATGTAGCCTATGCTGGAGGGGGGGGGGGGGAGGGGGGGAGTGTAGCCTATGCTGGAGGGGGGGGGAGTGTAGTGTAGCCTATGCTGGAGGGGGGGGGGAGTGTAGCCTATGCTGGAGGGGGGGGGGGGAGTGTAGCCTATGCTGGAGGGGGGGGGGAGTGTAGCCTATGCTGGGGGGGGGGGGGAAGTGTAGCCTATGCTGGAGGGGGGGGGGAGTGTAGCCTATGCTGGAGGGGGGGGGAGTGGGGGGGGAAGTGTAGCCTATGCTGGAGTGTAGCCTATGCTGGGGGGGGAAGTGTAGCCTATGCTGGAGGGGGGGGAGTGTAGCCTATGCTGGGGGGGGGGGAAGTGTAGCCTATGCTGGAGGGGGGGGAGTGGCCTATGGGGGGGGGGGGGGAGTGTAGCCTATGCTGGAGTGTAGCCTATGCTGGTAGCCTATGCTGGAGGGGGGGAGTGTAGCCTATGCTGGAGGGGGGGGGGGGGGGGGAAGTGTAGCCTATGCTGGAGGGGGGGGGGGAAGTGTAGCCTATGCTGGAGGGGGGGGGGAAGTGTAGCCTATGCTGGAGGGGGGGGGGTAGCCTAGTGTAGCCTATGCTGGAGGGGGGGGGGAAGTGTAGCCTATGCTGGAGGGGGGGGGGAAGTGTAGCCTATGCTGGAGGGGGGGGGGAAGTGTAGCCTATGCTGGAGGGGGGGGAAGTGTAGCCTATGGGGGGAAGTGTAGCCTATGCTGGATGCTGGGGGGGGGGAAGTGTAGCCTATGCTGGAGGGGGGGGGGGAAGTGTAGCCTATGCTGGAGGGGGGGGGGAAGTGTAGCCTATGGAGGGGGGGGGGTGTAGCCTATGGGAAGTGTAGCCTATGCTGGAGGGGGGGGGAAGTGTAGGCTGGAGGGGGGGGAAGTGTAGCCTATGCTGGAGGGGGGGAAGTGGCCTATGGGAAGTGTAGCCTATGCTGGAGGGGGGGGGGGAGTGGCCTATGCTGGAGGGGGGAGAAGTGTAGCCTATGCTGCAGGGGGGAGAGAAGTGTAGCCTATGCTGGAGGGGGGGAGAAGTGTAGCCTATGCTGCAGGGGGGGGGGGAAGTGTAGCCTATGCTGCAGGGGGGGGAAGTGTAGCCTATGCTGGAGGGGGGGGGAAGTGTAGCCTATGCTGGAGGGGGGGGGGGAAGTGTAGCCTAGTGTAGCCTATGCTGGAGGGGGGGGGGAAGTGTAGCCCTATGCTGGAGGGGGGGGAAGTGTAGCCTATGCTGGAGGGGGGGGGGAGTGTAGCCTATGCTGGAGGGGGGGAAGTGTAGCCTATGCTGGAGGGGGGGGAAGTGTAGCCTATGCTGGAGGGGGGGGAAGTGTAGCCTATGCTGGAGGGGGGGGGGGAAGTGTAGCCTATGCTGGAGGGGGGGAAGTGTAGCCTATGGGGGGGGGAAGTGTAGCCTATGCTGGAGGGGGGGAAGTGTAGCCTATGCTGGAGGGGGGGGGGGAAGTGTAGCCTATGCTGGAGGGGGGGGGGAAGTGTAGCCTATGCTGGAGGGGGGGGAAGTGTAGCCTATGCTGCTGGGGGGGGGGGGAAGTGTAGCCTATGCTGGAGGGGGGGGAAGTGTAGCCTATGCTGGAGGGGGGGGAAGTGTAATGCTGGAGGGGGGGGGGGAGAGTAGCCTATGCTGTAGGGGGGGAGTGTAGCCTATGCTGGAGGGGGGGGGGGGAGGTAGCCTATGCTGGAGGGGGGGGGAGTGTAGCCTATGCTGGAGGGGGGAGTGTAGCCTATGCTGGAGGGGGGGGAAGTGTAGCCTATGCTGGAGGGGGGGGAATGTGGCCTATGATGGAAGGGGGGGGGAAGTAGCCTATGGGGGGGGGGCCGAGTGTAGGATGGGGGGGGGGGAGTGTAGCCTATGCTGGAGAGTGGGAGTGGGGGGGAGTGTAGCCTATGCTGGGGGGGGGGGAAGTAGCCTATGCTGGTAGCCTATGCTGGGGGGGGGGGGGGAAGTGTAGCCTATGCTGGATGCGGGGGGGGGGAAGTGTAGCCTAGCCTATGCTGGAGGGGGGGGGGAATGTAGCCTATGATGGAAGGGGGGGGAAGTGCCTATGCTGGGAGGGGGGGGGGAAAGCCTATGATAGCCTATGCTAGCCTATGCTGGAGGGGGGGGGAGTGTAGCCTATGATGGAATGTGGGGGGGGGGGAAGTGCAGCCTATGCTGGAGGGGGGGGAGTGTAGCCTATGATGGAATGTGGGGGAGGGGGGGGAAGTGCAGCCTATGCTGGAGGGGGGGGGAGCGGAAGTGTAGCCTATGAATGCTATGAAGCAAGAACAGAGGACCTTTGGACCGACCAATTGTAAGCCACACCTTGGAGTCTCGTGTCAGTATTTAAAACGGCCCATAAGAATGAGGGAAGGTGATATTCCCTCATTGCTGGATTTGGTATTTACCAGGAAAGAAAGATATTCAACTTTCAGTACCTTCCTCCAGTGGGCAAGATCGACCATGTCCTTTTGGAAATTAAATATGAAATTCATTATAATATAGAAGAGATTGGAGTAAAGGAAATAATGTACAAGAACTATTTCAAGAGGACTTTGAGAAACTTGGTAAGTTCTAGAATGGATTTGATTGGAAAGATTTACTAGTAGCAAATGAAATATACGAGACGCATGACATTTATACCAGTATAGAGATGCAGAACTAGGAAGCAGGACTGTTTCAACATATATTGCGAGAGGGCAAGAGAACAAAAGACAATGGCATCAGTATAACAATAAGGCCGAATTCTCAAACATACCAGCAATATAAAGAAGCAAGAAACAACTACACGACAGTGAGAAGAGAAACAGACATTTTAAGAAAGGAATAGCAGATAAATATAAAACCGAACCAGGCCTATTTTATAAATTTACTAAAAGAAAATGGCAGGTAAAAAATAAAATCCAGAGGCTGAAAATGGGAAACAGAATCACGGAAAAAGACATTAAATAAACAGTTCCAATGTGTGCACGTAAAATGAGGGTTTCAGAGAACACCAGAGAATGCATTGAGGTGTCTCAAGATGAAGTGGAAAATTACTCAAGGAGGTAAGAAAAAATAAAGCAGTTGGACCAGATGGAGTTTCACCTTAGGTTCTGAGAGAATGTGCACATCAGCCAAGCAGTCCACTTCAACTGATATTCCAAACGTGTTTATGTACAGGAATCTTAGCAGATATATGGAAAAAGGCAAAAAGTTCCAATCTACAAAAATAGAAGCAGAGAAGACCCCTCTAAATTATAGACCTGTTTCATTGACAAATGTGGTAGTCAAAACACTAGAAAAAAAAAGTTAAAACCAAGCAGATAGAATACCTGGAGAGAAATGATATAGTAATACAGATGGTACGGTTTTCAAACAGGAAGAGCCTGTGTAACAAATCTACTTGTGTTTTTATGAGAGCTACAGAGATTCTACAGGTTGGGTTGGGTTAACCAAGTTTATCTGGACATAAAAATGTCCCTTGACAATCTCCCACTAGAGGTTCTTCTGGAAACTGGAACATGGAGAAGTGACAAATACTGACATGGATGAAAAATTTTCGAACTGCCAGAAAAGGGAGGGCGGTAATTAGAGGCAATGTATCCGAAGGAAGGAGTGTCACCAGCTCAGTATCACAGGGTTCAGTTCTAGCACCAGAGATGTTCATCGTCTATATAAATGATCTAACCGAAGGAATACAGAATTAAATGAACATGTTTGATAGCAACCTAAGCTGCTAGGGAAGAAAAGAAACTTATATGATTGTCATGCTCTTCAAAATGACTTAGACAAAAGTTTATGGAGCACCATGTGGCAAATAGAATTCAGTATAAATAAATGCCATGTTATGGAATATGGAAAAGGTAAAAATAGGCCCCACACTACCTACATATTAAGTGTAAAAGAATTAAAGAACTCTAGCAAAAAGAGAGATCTATGGATGGTTGTGGATAGTAGACTGTCAATAGAACACAAAGAACATTGTACAAGGAGCACATGCTATGCTTTCCAACTTCAGAATCGCTTTTAAATACATGGATGGTGAAATACTAAAGAAACTGTTCACAACTTTTGCGAGACCAAAACAGAAATACTGTATGCAGCAGCTGTATGGTACCCATATCTCAAGAAGCACATCAACAAGCACATCAACAAACTGGAAAAGGTGCAAAGACATGCAACAAAATGGCTTCTGGAACTGAAAGACAAGAGCTACGAGGAGAGAATAATGGTGTTAAATATGACAAAGCTAAAAGATAGAAGGAAAAAAAGAGGCGATATACAGTAATCGCCACATACAAAATAGTAACAGGAATTGACAAAATTGATAAAGACGTCTTGAAACCTGAAACTTAAAAGAACAAGAGGTCATCGATTTAAGTTATGGAAACAAAGCTGCCAAATATAAAAAAAAGTTACAAAGTTCACTTTCGCAAACAGTAGTCGACAGTTGGAACAGGCGAGATGGTGGTGGATGCCAAAACAGTCGGTTTCAAAACGTTATATGACAGTAGTGTATTGTACTAGGAAGACGGGACATCAAGTGTGTAGCTCTCGTCCTGTAAGTACATTTAGTTAATTACACTGACACACGGTGACTGCGTCACACGGACACATGGTGACTGCACCACACCCGACACACGAAGATCCACACAGTCTTCCCAGGGGCCACTGGATATTACAGTTAATACCATCACAGCTAAGCTTTCACAAACTTAGCTTTCACAGCTAAGTTTGCTGTTACAGTATCTTTCTTTTCTGTTTAGTAGTTCTTTTATTTTAATTATTTATTGAGGGAGTCAAATAAATCCCACAAAGATTAATGGATTAAGAAAGTCATTAACAGTTTCAGAATATTCAACGAGATGAACAAAATATTGTATACGTAAATGTACTATGAATTAAAGAAAATCATAAACAAAAAATAGAAGGGAAGAGAGATGTTTAGTGGAGGATCAGTGCAATGCAAGGAGGAGTGTCACTCAGGTATGAGAGGGAGGGAGGAGACTGGGCAGTAGCTTCATGGTGGGAGATCATGTATTGGTTAAAAAAAGTACATTAAATTGATTTTTTGCATAAAATATACTCCTTTATATTATACTGTATCACTTTAACACAGTATCGAAGTGCCACTACTACTGTTTATATTATTGATGCAAGTAGATGGGCTGCATTTAAATCTTCTAAATTTGTTTAAGAATGAAGTGTTAAGAAATACAGTAATTTTAAAAAATTACTGTATACTACACGCTGAAGCCATAAATGCCAAAACATTACTGCACATTTTTCATGCAGTTGCTGGTTTTAGTCCCTGTACTAAAATGCAATTTGCATACTCTGCAGTGTATAGTCTTAGTATACTGTACTGTATTGTATCACAAACAGTGCTAGCTACCACTGCCTTTGTCAAGCTGGTCACACTAAGGTCCCCAAGTTTCATCACCTAGTACTGTAACTCTTTCATAAACAAACATTTTTTATTCTTATTTACAATAGCCTGACTAACGGTGCTGCACAACATCTTCCCTACTTGACCATAACTCATTAAAAAAAAATCGAAAGACTTCAGAGTTGAAACTCGTCTGGCAGTAACAAACTCGGCTACAAAAATATTGTTATTTTCATTTATCGATACCAATATAAGAAGTAGATGCACCATGTACTTTTGGACAAATCGGATGTCATTTTTTGGGAATCAGAATTAGAGTTTAGTCAACAAAATATTCCCAAATACCATACACTAAAATTAATTATTGCAATTGTATAAAAGTAAATACAGTATACTATCCAGAATACAATTTATCAATTATTAGAAATTAATTATAATAATGAGTGGGGTACATTTAACGATAAGTCTAGTGTTTTTTCACGATTCAATGTCATTCTTTGTATGTTCCAAGGTAAACTCCATTACATCCACAGAGACCTATTATATCCATATTTGCATCATACATGTAAACACCAGACAATAATTGTTTAAATCATCTTATGACGACCGCATTATCACTTGAATCAACGAATGACGATAACCACTTTCTAAGGGTTAAAGACAACGGTACCTAGAGTACAATCAGTAACGGTAAAAATGTGAACAAGTATGCTGTAAATAGTTATTATAATTGTACTGTAACTACTGTACTCCGTATATCATTATTGTAACTACTGCCGAGGGAGCCGGTCGGCCGAGCGGACAGCACGCTGGACTTGTGATCCTGTGGTCCCGGGTTCGATCCCAGGCGCTGGCGAGAAACAATGGGCAGAGTTTCTTTCACCCTATGCCCCTGTTACCTAGCAGTACAATAGGTACCTGGGTGTTAGTCAGCTGTCACGGGCTGCTTCCTGGGGGTGGAGGCCTGGTCGAGGACCGGGCCGCGGGGACACTAAAGCCCCGAAATCATCTCAAGATAACTGTACATCATTATACATGAGGCTGGATTTAATTACAATAGATAATGTTAGAAAGGTTCTACAATCAGTTAGCGAATCATTACATACACAAAATAACCTGTATTCGATTAGCCTGTTTTTTTTTCCTTAAGCTGTGGCGGCTAGTCTTTCATAGAGGTCATTGCAAAGTTTTTAAATTACGTCACAATAGCCTCAAAGTCTATACTGTTAGTCATAATATTACTGTATGTTAGTTTGATACCAGTGAAGAAATATAAAATGATAAAACAAATTTAGATATTGCATATGACGTGTCACCTGTTCAGTGTTCTAAAGTTATTTTTCCACCTTATTATAACCAGAAGACGAATGTTAATGGATGAGGCGTACAAAACTGGGCCAAGTAACCTTACCCTGACTTCGGAGGAGCTTTCAAATCGCTAGGCACTTCAATTTCCCCAGAAATGTCTATCTCCACGTCACCTTGGCCACCCGACATGATGGTCTGAGATGTTTACAAACCAGAACCAGAAGAAAGGCGTATGAAGGGAGGCGGTCGTCCTAGAGGAGTGCTGGAGAGGGTGTGGGAGCCACTCGGGGCTCTCAGGAGGCTTGGATCTCACCTGTGACGTGTCAGGTTCTGGCGTCGATGGCCCGCGGGGAATGTGAATTTATGAGACTTTTTCCTCTGATCATCTAATGTTTTTTTATTATTATTTAACATATCACATATCATATTTAACATATTTAACATATCACAGAAAATAAGAAAATACATTTCATACAGTAATTTCACTCCCATGCAAAACACTTAAATTACACAAGTAATTTCCTAAGCAATAAAGTTTACATAGCTACTAATATCAAATGATTCAGTAAAATAATACATTTAATTTAATAATACATCCTTAATACATTTATATTTCAGAGTTTTCCTTTTTTTCAAATTACTCAGCTAATGTGTAGATACAGAACATTGTCCTACTACATTACAGGAAGTTATTAAGGGTAACACGTTTATTTAAAAATGGTATTGAAATTGAAATTGAAATTGAAATAAGTTTATTGAGGTAAAATACACACAAAGGGATGAGGTAGCTCAAGCTATTCTCACCCCGTTCAGTACATCGTGTGAATACATACATAGACACACATCACAAACAATAAACATATTACCAAACGTTCTGAGAGATAAACATATACATTTCCTATTGTATATCCAAAGTGCAAAATAGAGTCCGTGAAGCAACTGTACTAGTAATTGTAACTTGTGGTCAATCTCGAACCCATTGTTGATATGACGATGTGCACTGAATTTTGTAGCTAGCTCATCAAGATTATACTACGGTACATGAGCACTGCGATACATGAATACTACGGTACATGCTCACAACGGTACAGGAAAGCTGGATCGAATAATTCTATTGTCGCTAGAGAGGGTAGCTCATTGTGCACCCCATACTTATCCTGTGAGTGGTAGTTTAACTCAATGTAACCTACATCACCCCTAAATGTCAACCCATGTCTACGACTTTAAACAATGCTGTTTGTTGACCAAATTGTATTTTTGCTTTTTTTCTGCCATGTTTCCCCCCCCCCCCTTTTTTCATTTTTTTCTGATTTTTTCTCAACACAATTTATACTTTAATCTAAGTTAGTATTAAGTTTTAGTCTTAGTGTTTTTCCTGCCTGAAGCGCTTTGCGTAATAGTGGCTTTAGGCATTGTATGTACTAGCTCTATCTATAAATCCATCAACTTTTGTATCTCACCTTGTATGTATGTACTTTATCTGAATAAATATTTGTATTTGTATTTTGTATTTATTGTGCACCCCATACTTTCCTAAATGTTTACCCTAATTTACCCAAGGGGCCACTATTTCTATTGGCCTCGACGAAGACAGAAAGACGGCGGCTTGTCGAAGGTCCCTCGATTTGTCCTGATGATTTTGTCGAGCTGGATTTTGAAATTCTGCACCTCAAGTTCAAGTTCAAGTATGTTTATTGAGACAAGAAAAAATACATCTCAAAGGGATAGAGTAGCTTAGGCTATTTCTACCCCCCTCTACTTCAAGTCCCTCAAGGGGCGCACAAATTCAGTGAGTACAGATAGACAAATCACAATACAACATTTAATATTGCATATTAATATAGTAAGTGTTACAATCATTGGGGCAAAATTCTTGTAGTTCCTAAGTATTCTGTCTATCATATCATTATCACACATTATCAGCGTTTTACATTTGCGGCTTCGGCGGGAAGGCGACTCCATGAATTTATAACCCTATGGTTGAAAAAGCATCTGTTTACCATCCTGTATTGTGGCTTGTTGAGCTTGAAACCGTTGCTTCTTGTTTGTGCTACATCTGACCTTTCGAAGAAGTGGTCTGGTATTTTATGAGTTTCGATGAGATCCGCCCTGTCATGCCTGGTGTGTAGTGTTGTTAGCCTTGTGGCCCTCAACCGTTGCTGGTATGAGAGTCGACTTAGTTAAAGAATGATTTTAGTCGCCAAGTGTTGAACTTTCTCCACAGCAACTATGTCTTTCTGAAGATGAGGTCTCCTTGGATACAATAATCCAAGTGATTTATTCTGATGATACAAGCACCAGAGATTTTTTTTTTTTTTTTTTTTTTTTTTTTTTTTTTTTTTTTTTTTTTTTTTGAGATATATACAAGAGTTGTTACATTCTTGTACAGCCACTAGTACGCGTAGCGTTTCGGGCAAGTCCTTAATCCTACGGTCCCTGGAATACGATCCCCTGCCGCGAAGAATCGTTTTTTCATCCAAGTACACATTTTACTGTTGCGTTAAACAGAGGCTACAGTTAAGAAGATTCATCCAGTTCTACAACTACATTTTTTTTCCTTGAAGTCAAAATTTCGTTTAACTATTCATAGGATTTGGTTTGCTTTTTCTTACAGCAGCTCCCACTTGTTGTGCAATATTCAGTGATTGGTGGATTCTGACCCAAGGTCCCTTTTTCATCTATCTGCTGCTAGGTTGATTTGGTAGTTGAGACGTGGAATGTTATGCCCATCATGAAAGGTCTTGCATTTATCGTTATTAAAAAGCATTTGTCAGTCTTCTGATCATTTGTGGAGCTTCTGTGGATATCTTATTAAAACCTCAATATTTGTTTCACTTCCCACTTTACTGTACATCTTAATGTCATCTGTAAATTTGATGATGTTGTTTGTAATATTCTCATCTGTGTCATTGATGTATATTACAAAAAGGGTTGACCCCAAAATGGTACCTTGGGGTACCCCACTCATAACATTCCTCCAGTCAGATTCATTTCCGTTCAGGACGACCTTTTGCTCTCTTTGTTTTAACCATTGTTTTGTCCATTCCAGTATTCTAACAAATACAAATATTTATTCAGGTAAAGTACATACATACAAGGTACGATACAAAAGTTGATGGATTTATAGATAGAGCTAGTACATACAATGCCTAAAGCCACTATTACGCAAAGCGTTTCGGGCAGGAAAAACACTAAGGCTAAAGCTTAATACTAATACTTCTACCATTTATTCTATGTGCCTGTAATTTCCTGTGAGTGATAATTTACTGTGAATCCTTTCATCAAAATAGGATTTGATGAAAGTTGGTTTTGATGAAGTAGTTGGTTGAGTTGTTGCACGAACCTGCAGATCCCGATGTTCCAGCTGCTGCATTATGCTCAATTATACATCTTCTGCATTGTTTTTTTTCTAATTACCTTATTTGTGCTAAACTCTGTGGTATGTAAATGTCTGCAATCCTCTTTTAAGTTGCAAGTTTTGCAGTTGCATCTGAAATGTCATTCTCTAGCCTTTCAAGTTCAAGTTCAAGTTCAAGTATGTTTATTGAGACAAGAAAAAATACATCTCAAAGGGATAGAGTAGCTTAGGCTATTTCTACCCCCCCAACTAGCCTTTCTATATGACTTTGCACCCAGTTGTTCAAGTTCAAGTATGTTTATTGAAATAAGAAAGAAATGCATCTCAAAGGGATAGAGTAGCTTAGGCTATTTCTACACCCCTAAACCATTATTCAAGGACCTTGACGTTTAATTGTTTGCATTATAATAATAATAATAATAATAATAAAAATAATAATAATAATAATAATTTATTCTTTGAAGGTACAATGGGTTGGTGAGATTACATAAGATTGATATGTGTACATTCTTGCAAAGCCTTGCATTCATGCATTATTATGCGTACACACGCACAGCATTTCGGGCAGGTCCTTAAACTAACATATCAGGTAAGATGAAAAGGTACACTGTAGCAAGGTTTTATATCAACAAATAACTACAATATAAGTTAACAGAGGTGATTGATGAGGTTTTGATGAAACCTCATCAATTTTGGTGAAAATTTGAAAATTGAAAATTTTGGTTTTTACACGTTTTAAGTAATAATATTGGGGAAGTGGGTAGTACAAGATACTGTGTGAGTTTGGAGCACAAGGTAGGAAACTTTGAGGATGAAATTAGGTACTTTTTGGTTTTACGTTTGAATAAGGCTGAATATAATGGAATTTCAAAATTAAGTAACTGACATATGTGGAGAGCTAGTGTCACAATTGATATGTTGATATTGTTTACTGCACAGTGAGTCAAACAATTACTACAGAGAGTTCTTCCATCCCGAATTAGTGCTCCAATGATTGTATCTTTTAAGTGAACTGTTTCATGGTCTAGTCAATGTCTTGGTTAACATGTATGCAGCAAGCCATTTTATCCTTGTTTCAACCGATGTTAGTTTGGTTTCCAGTCTTAAACTATGTATTTTAGCCAACATGGGAGCCCCAGAATCATGATGTGTCCCAGAATCTGTGTCCTCCAGATGGGAGCCCCAGAATCATGATGTGTCCCCAGATGGGAGCCCCAGAATCATGATGTGTCCCAGAATCTGTGTCCCCCAGATGGGAGACCCAGAATCATGATGTGTCCCCAGATGGGAGCCCCAGAATCATGATGTGTCCCCAGATGGGAGCCCCAGAATCATGATGTGTCCCAGAATCTGTGTCCCCCAGATGGGAGCCCCAGAATCACGATGCTATAACCTCAACCTGTGCCCACTGACCAGGAGAAAGAGTAAGGCAGGCGCTGCATAATCAACCAGGGAACGAGCTGCGTGTATGTAAAATATTCACAAAACACTGTGTGACGCGCCTAGACGGGGCCCTGTGATTGCTCTCATTAGGCTTCAGTATGCAGGCGATGAGTCACAATAACGTGGCTGAAGTATGTTGACCAGACCACACACTAGAAGGTGAAGGGACGACGACGTTTCGGTCCGTCCTGGACCATTCACAATCGACTTGAGAATGGTCCAGGATGGACCGAAACGTCGGCGTCCCTTCATTTTCTAGTGTGTGGTCTGGTCAACATTAGGCTTCAGTGCCTTCGAAACCTCGTCGCTTCTCCATCTTCTGAGGTGTCATTATATTCAGTTGTGACTTTGCTTTCTCCTTCAAACGTTGAATTCACTTGTTAAATGTTATTTTAGAATCCATCCACACTCAAAGATATTGGTATTGTGTAACTGAAGGTTAGTGTCTTGAATGCGTAGGTGCT